CTCTCCGGCATTATGTCGGTATAGCTGTCTAGTACTCCCTTGATTTCCTCTTGGACAGTCTCTTCGGTGGTTGCTTCTTCTATCAGTGGTATGGCCATGAATGTAGGTTCCTCTCGTGCAAGTCCCTTTTTCAGTTGTATGGCCGAGATCATTCGAAGACTACCTGGTTGCTTGATGCTTGCAGGTATTACTGTGGGGTTACGGTCGGTGATCACCAAGCATTTTGCCAATGGCATTGGGATGACCTTGTGTTCTAGGAGGAACTCCATCCCAAGTACCACGTCGAAGTCGTCCATGCGAACCACGACAAGGTCTAGCTCTCCAGTCCAATCCCCTATTTTGAAGGGGACTCTCTTAGAAACTCCCACAATAGGCAAGGCCTCGGAGTTGACAGCTTTCATTTTCCCCGGGTCTTTTCCTATGGTGAGTCCCAATCTTCTGGCTTCTTGATCGGCAATGAAGTTGTGGGTTGCTCCAGAGTCTATGAAAGTGCTCTTGCTCGGTTGAGAGTTTATTGTGGCATCCACGAACATGAGCCCTTTCTCTATTACCTCCTTCGGTTCGACTTTCCGTTGGAGGGCTGACAAGAATTTGAGTGCGCCCATTCGGGGGTTGTCGTGATCTTCCTTCTTGTCTAGCAAAGTCTCGACCCTTGCTTCATTGCTCTCTTGAATGGACACTTGAAGTGCAGTGAGAGAGGCCCGGTGAGGACAGTAGGATACCTTGTGGAGGCCTTTACACAGCATGCATTGCAAAGGCGTCGTCGGGTGGTTCCTTTGATGGTAAGGCCCTCGAGATGTCCCCGCTTGATTGTTCTGAGGAGGTCTATCCGTCCATCCATTCGGTCTGTTGGGGCTTCCATTTCGCTGGCCTGGTGGTCTGTATGGTTTGCCCCCATTGTTTGGGGCTGGTGTCGCTCTTCTTTGGGATCCTGCTTCGTTCCCACAGTCTACGAGTCTCTCGACGCAGGCCATTGCGGCAGCTAGGGTTTGGACCCTGTTCTCATGTATCTTTGTTTTGGCCCACGGCTGTAGACCATTTATGAAGAACACCTTGTCCTTCTCTGCTGTGCCCCTAATATCCAGCATCAGGGTTGAGAACTGTCTGACGTAGTCCCGTATGTTTCTAGTGTGTTTCAGGGCTACTATTTTCTCCATTGCTATATGCCCTGCGTTTTCGGGGAGGAATTGTTCCCTCAACTCTCTCTTGAGGTCCTCCCATGAGTCGATGGTGCACAATCCATCCTCGATGTCTTGCATCTTCGTACGCCACCACAGTTTGGCGTCGTCTATGAGGTACATCGCGGCTACAGTCACCTTCTTGTCGTCGGTACAAGCCGTTGTGGCTTTGAAGTACTGTTCGACGTCAAAGATGAAGTTCTCCAACTCTTTGGCGTCCCGATTCCCTTTGAAGGCTCTAGGGTCTGGGAACCTTAGTTTGTTGGATCCTGTACTAGTTTGTCCAGCCGCGACACCTTCCACGGCTTTCATGGTAATTTCAATTTGAGTGCTCATGGTGGCCATCCTTTCTTGGAGGTCGTCGACTGTTGTTCTGAATTCATTAGCCAATCCATTGAACAAACTCATCATTGTGTTTTGTAGTACATCGAACTCTTCGCCACGTCCCTCTTTGTGTGCGACAGAGCTATCTGGACTATCAGACGGTTTTAGGCTGCTCGTAGGAGCAACTCTTTCTTCGAGCGAGGTCACTCGAAACAACAGTTCTGCGATTGGCAACCCATCCAGGCGGTTGCCCATTGCGTCGACTTGGACGACTTTCTCACTCAGTTCGGTCACCCGTGTTTCCAGGAAACGGAGGGTGTCAGGGACTTCTTTGAGGAACAGCATTTCCTCCTCTATTAGCGTAAGCCGGTCGGCTTGTGCTTTGGGTGTCGATTTTGTCGTCGACATGATCTCAGTCTGTATGACGTTACGGAGCTAACAAAGCTCTGATACCACTTGACACAATCGCGCTTTCGAAGGCAGCGGACTAGCGATTGTGCGGCACTCACTTTCTAGCGACAAGTGAGTTCAGCCTATTTGTTCTTGCGTCGCCTACGGCCAAGCGACGTACGGTCAAGCCTCTAGCCTCGGTTTTAAAAGAAGGTTTTAGAAAACGAGGAGAGAGAGAGATTTTAGAAAGAGACGTTATATAAGCAAGCAAGAGAAAGATAACAACGGCTTAGCATATATAACCTTGGGTAGGGAGAAGTTGACGACTAGTCATATCCCCCTATAGTACATTCTGGGCCATTTTAGTTCTGGCAGGCCTAGACATGATATTTTTGAGGTGTCATACGCTCTAGAATTACAAAAGGAAAAACACTAGAATGAAAAGACATGACAAGGGTTTGGCTTGTCATGGGCATGCGGCCATGGGCAACATGCCCTGGACAAGCATGACCGTGACAGCTGGCGCACAACCTACAGACTTCTTAGCCAAAAGAAAAAAACTAAAGAAAAAGGATCCCTATAATCTAAAGCTTTAGTCTAATCTTAGACAAAGAGCAAGGAGGATATGAAGCACTGCTGGGTAGACCATGGCTCCAACCAGGATGGTTCATTACTGGGCTAATAAAAAACAGAGCAAAAGGCGGGATGGAAGGCAGGCGAAAAAGGCTTGGCTTTGTTTCACAGAAAAAGGACTAAGGAAATTTCGTTTATGTTGTGGTGATGCAGGCGTCAGTTGACCAGGTTTATAGATAATAGAGATAGTAGATATATATGCAAGATCGAAGACTGGCGTGGGTTCGCTTTCCTTTTGAAGGCAGAGCAATTCAAACTCTTAGTTAGACTAGGGCTAGGGCAACTCATTTTATTTTCTCTGAGGTCTCTTAGTTAGCTTAGGGGGGCGCGTCGAATCGCTGAAAGGCCTTTGGGTAAGATGAAAATAGAAAACCACAATGATTTCAAACTTCCCTCGTCTCGTATTCATGCTGCCCCGACTCCAAACTCGATGTTAGTTAACTAAGTGGGACATTCCCAAACTCTTTTTTATCAAACTCCTTTCTCGTTCCCTTGTACAGACCTTACCAGGCAGTTTTCATTATGTGTTCTTTACAGTGTGATGGGAGGTTAGGAGTGAGTTAAGCTAATGAGACAGACCTGGTTCATCCTTTGATGGTGAGGTCAGTGCAAGTCTGTCTATGATTAAGAGTAATGGTGGTGTTGAAGCTGGCTCATTCATGCTAGTCATCTTAGAGCTATGAGTGAGAACAATGTTCACCAACTCTTCCATAGTGTGAATATATCGAAAAAGCTTTTGTTTGAATCCATTCTTCTATCAAAGTGCTTTACATCCTCCCCAAGGTAGCATTGCCGAGCGGGTGATCCCTATCTTGTTTATCCAGCTAGCTTTTTCCCGTGGTACTGAAATTCGATTTGTGAGAGCTCGGGGATTTTAAAACAAAAACAAAGGGACCTTAAGCATTCTCAATATAAATGCCTATATATAAAGGCGCTGAGTTGAAGAGGGAACAAGTGCCACAGAGAGATGATAAATGGGAGAAAGAGGTTCAATGGAAATCTCTGATGGAATGGAAGACCTCCCATCCACTGACTACAAGACTGTAGCCTAACACCGAAGTTAGCTTGAAAAGAATAAATAGTTGGTACAAAAGGCCAGGCAGGAGAGTTGATGCTTCTGCTTCTGCAAAGGTTGCATCTTTGATCCCTAGAGGAGACCTCTTCAATTCCACATGACAGCACCATAGCCATCTCTGATGACCCCGCCATAATTTGAATTTCCAGAGAGAGGGGATGACTTCCCTACTCCTTTAAAGTTCATCTTTATGTGATGATAAGAGGAAATTGCCACAAGATTGATCTCGATATCTTTGAATGAATTTGAATTCAAAGCCATGGTGTTCATATTTGGCTGCTAAGTACCTCTCCAATGGCAAGGATCACAACCCACCTCTAAAATATCCTGCATAACTGATATGAACCAAGAGACATCAATCATACAATATACTTCAATGAAGATGTGAAGAAAAGGTTGTCAAAATTATCAAAAGATGTTTCAATTCATGCTACATTGAAGAAGAATGAAGTTTGATTGTTGTAAATTTTGAGTGGGTTACAATTTAGAGTAATTTAGAGTTATTGTATTTTAAGCCTTGTTATTTAATTTCGGTTACATTTACATAATGGCTAATTATGGCCATAAAGTAGGAATGTTACAACTCTTGGAATATCTTTAGTAGTTTCATTTTTTAGGCTATATAAAGCCATGTATGTTGTATTTGTAAGAGAGTCTTGGAAAATATATTAAAAGAAGTATTTGTGCTTTTCTATAGCCAATGGCAATGGCTAAGTTTCTTTGCAATTCTATGTAGTTTAGGTTGCATGTAGAATCATTCAAGCTTGACATGATCAATCTTGCTTGTGGAGTGATTCGAATCTCAAACAAGTGTTTGAGATATTTGATCAACAAGAATCATTCAAGCTAGACATGATCGATCTTGCTTGTGGAGTGATTCGAATCTCAATCAAGTGTTCTTGCCTTGAGATATTCGATCAACAAGGTAATCCGAATCTTACTCCCCTTGTAGTGATTCCTTATCTTATAAATAACGGTCTTATTTGATACAGAGAGACTTTCCGGCAGAACTTGGGCTAGACTTTGGTTGCGCAATGGTAAGCTGATTCGCTTCTGGGATGATGTTTGGCCGTGTCACTCTCCTCAGAGATGCATGCCATAATTTCTATCAATTCACAAGGTTCTCATGATCTCAAAGTGATAGACTACATGAAGAAAGATAATAAAGTCTTCTTTCTTTCTCTCCCTATTCAATTGCCCGTCCAAGATCATTTGGCTTCATAATACTTGGAGTGTTTTTTCTGTTTTTTGGCTATGGACAACTAAGAGAAAGATTATCATCCAGCCCCAAAAAGGAGGAGAATCTCTTTTGCCAGCTCAACCCTTAAGAATTTTGTATGCCAATTCTGCCTCAAATTCTCTGAAGGTGATCAGCCCCCTTCCTTTTTCAGTATCAGTGGATGAAGGATGCAAGTATGTATATTATCTCAACGCTTCTTTTCTCTTGCTCTTCTAAATCCCATTTTGGCCTAAGGTAATGTATTCAGGATTTCATCTCCATAATTCTTTGTTTTCTATGTATGTTCAAGCAGTAAAGTTGAGTTCAAAATTCTGCCTTATTCCATGAGATCTAGAAGCACTTCTGCAACCTTCTCTCTCTCCTCCCTATCGCTGACTGATTGAAAAGGGGAATGTCGACCGACCTTCCTTATCAGTTGTCGCTCGATCGAAAGGATATAAAAAGTCATACGAAACCTTAGCTTCGCTGACTTTCTGAGGTATAACCTTCGCCACGACATTAGTGGCTAAAACACTTCGCGCTTCCCGCAGGCTTTTTTTATTGAGAGTAAGGGTACGGAAGATTGGTCCGTTCCGCAAAGCTGAGCTTTTCGGTTCGCTCCCCCAACCTTCTTACCAGTCTGCCTCCTTTCTCTTGATGGAATATAACAATGCCCAAGCTCCTGCTTTGCTTGAGTTCTTCACCGGCGCGGGGCTGTCTCACTTATCCCGCTCCTAAGGTAAGGAGACCTCTGTGTGTTAGAATCTTTAGGGGAATGAATCGCGTTGGTGTTGAGAATTGCTTGGGAATGAATTGATAGTGACTTTGCCAAGTTCTAGGGGTTCCCCTCTTCTTTATTTGTCGATCGAGCCGCTTTCCCTCATTCCACTCGTCCAGCCCTGATAAGATAAGGAATCAATACAAGGGGAATAAGATTCGGATTACCTTGTTGATCGAATATCTCAAAACAAGAACATTGTTTGAGATTCGAATCACTCCACAAGCAAGATCGATCATGTCTAGCTTGAATGATTCTTGTTGATCAAATATCTCAACGCAAGAACACTTGATTGAGATTCGAATCACTCCACAAGCAAGATTGATCATGTCGAGCTTGAATGATTCTACATGCAACCTAAACTACATAGAGTTGCAAAGAAACTTAGCCATTGGCTAAAGAAAAGCACAAATGCTTCTTTTAATATATTTTCCAAGTCTATCTTACAATGCTAACATACATGGCTTTATATAGTCTCAAAATAAAACCCTTAACCTTGAGTCATTTTAAGAGTTTGTAACATTCCTACTTAATGACTATAATTAGCCCCTATGTGTACTTTATGGCCATAATTAGCCCCTATGTAAATAAACCTTACAATACATTAAAAGAAACATGATAAGCAAGTCAACTCTTTTGATAATTTTGACAACCTTTTCTTCACATCTTCATTGAAGCATATTGTATGATTGATGTCTCTTGGTTCATATCAAGCCCTCTTCACGAACTTGTACAATCGATGCCACAAAGATAGCCAACTCGATTATCAAAGAAATAAGGAAACGGGCGACGATTTGGCACCAGATATCCGGAGGTGTGGAAAGAGATGCTGTGAAAAGCGGAAAAACCATCAAAAAATGACGATTGTTCGTGAGGGTTTCCATAGAAAGACCCCTGAGTTTTGGCAAACAGATCACAATTACAGGTACTTGGGAGCATACCGATAGAATGAACGAAATACGAACAGTTAACATAATATGGTCATAGATCTTAGGTTGTAACTTGAGAATGAGCGAATTTGTTGATGTTGCACCCACGGAGTATGGAAAGTGCCAAACATTGGGAACTACCCGGGGAAGACTTAGGAACAGGAATAAGGAGAAGCGAAAACCACTTAAATAGAGGAATCGATTGTATTTCGTCCTTTGTTCTCCATAGCAACTGGGGATCAAAAAGCACCAAATTTGATGACTTATTAAGGGAAAGACGAAGTAAGAGCATGCTATTGAAGATTTTTGTTCTCTTCCACGCCCGGGAAGGTGGATCAAAGAAAGGTAGCTTGCTTCTCTCCTGGACAGATGGCGGCTTATGTAGTGGTCGGCCTTCCTACCAGGATTCCTCCTTGCTCGAAGAGCCCCTTTACTAGTAAGGGCGCAGGAAGCAAAAAAACTTGTGCTAAGGACGTTTTCTTCTCTGCCTTCTCCTCTAAAAAAACCAAGGGAGAGACTGCATCCCTTTCCTTCGGTAGCTCTTTAGGTTTCCCAAGGATAGCGGTTGCTGGGGCAAAGCTGGCTTTCTTCGCTCCGCGAATGAGAGAGAAAGTCAGAGGAAAAAACACGTTCTCTCTTTGAGAGGTCCGAAAGTGGAGAACACATAGCATTCTCTGGGCACACGGGATGAAACGTAAAGCAGCGCTTGATTGGCAGAGTTTTAGGCGGCAAGAGACTGACGAGATTGTTGGAGGTGCTGAGCATAACGAATCGAAACCAGAGACGGATCCAGCTAGCTTGCCTGCCAAGCTGATAGGCGAAGGGCCGAAGGATGGAGCGTGCAAAGTCAATCGTGCACCTGTCGTGTGACCCGTTGGTCCTAAGCAATGTCTTGCGCGAAGCGACCCACCTAGAAAAGCTCCCCTTTATCTTAGGGCTAAAATGGAACTTCGATCGGATGCGGGTATCCAACCCCGCCGCTAAAATGTTGATATAAACCAAGAGACATCAATCATACAATATGCTTCAATGAAGATGTGAAGAGAAGGTTGTCAAAATTATCAAAAGATGTTTCAATTCATGCTACATTGAAGAAGAATAAAGTTTGATTGTTGTAAATTTTGGGTGGGTTATAATTTAGAATAATTTAGAGTTCTTGTATTTTAAGACTTTTTATTTAATTTCGGTTACATTTACATAATGGCTAATTATGGCCATAAAGTGTGAATGTTACAACTTTTAGAATGCCTTTAATAGTTTCATTTTGAGGCTATATAAAGCCATGTATGTTGTATTTGTAAGGTAGACTTGGAAAATATAGTAAAAGAAGCATTTGTGCTCTTCTTTCGCCAATGGCTAAGTTTCTTTGCAATTCTATGTAGTTTAGGTTGCATGTAGAATCCATTCAAGCTCGACATGATCAATCTTGCTTGTGTTGTGATTCGAATCTCAATCAAGTGTTCTTGCGTTGAGATATTTGATCAACAAGAATCATTGAAGCTAGACATGATCGATCTTGCTTCTGGAGTGATTCGAATCTCAAATAAAGTGTTCTTGGCTTGAGATATTCGATCAACAAGGTAATCCGAATAGGTCAGTCTTTTCCTTTTGTCCTATATTGAAAATCAAAAAAGCGTGGGAGGACATTACACAGATGTCCAGGACGGACACGATTTCTTCTAACGCTAGAAGACCATTGGAAGACACCTGGGACCAGAGCATGTCGTGAAAGAAGCACACTGGCCGTGCTTCGACCATGTCTCCGGGGCACAGTTGAATGTAGATATCATGAATGCGAGGTGTGGGATACCAGGTCGAGAAACCCGGACAACCACTACCCTATGTGTTGATCGCTAGTGCATCTAGGGCCCCGGCGCCCAGCAGAGCTGGAGAGGCCTAGCCGGATCTGAGAAGTGCTAATTCGGTTCGTCTCAACTTCATTCAAGAACAAACACCCTGGAATCCATAAGAAAACAAGTGCTATCAGATCAGTGAATAAACTCAAATGCAGTGAATGAACCCAAACGCAAAGAAGAAAAAGAACTTTCTCGCTCGGTGCCTAAAGCGCACTATGCTCCCCTTCAACAAATGAAAGTTTTTGGTGGAACCGGTGAACCAGCGAGCAGGTTAGATGCATGCATGGGACAGAGGGCTCGTAGTACCCGCTAGCGCAGCTATGCAGTGGAAGGGAAGGAGCCTAAATCAATCGAACGAACCCCCCATTTTTTCTTTGATAAAAAACACAGTACAAAGAGATTAGACTTCGGATGAGACTAAGCAGCCACCGACCGTTACGACGCGCCCCTGACCCATCTTGATTAAGACCAAACAAACAAAACCTGTCAAAAATAGAGTAGAGCCTAGTTTAAGATCTCAAACAAATAAATGAGAGAACGGAAAATGACGAGAATATCCACTAGTAGGGATATATATAGATGGAGAGTCTCTCTTAGTAAAGAGAGTTGTAGGTTTGTAGGAAAGGAGAGTAGCGAAGCAATGAGGCACACAACGAATGAGCGAAGCAATTTTACCAGAAGGGAGAGGTGAATGAGCGAATGAATCAGTTTCCCCTTTTTCAATAACAAAAAAGGAAAGAAAGAAGGGCCAACTATTAGAATATTAGTAAAAGCACCTTAGCTTATCTCTCGATATAGGAAGGGGCCTTTTCTTGATCGTTAGAGCTCCCTTACCCTTATTTCTCAAAGGTTTTGCATTTAGTTGTCTATGCCTTTTGAAAACCTGACTCTGACTACTGCTAATAATGAAGGGGCTTCTTTCTTCAAATATCCTATCAAGTTGGGCTGAAAAGCTTTGAGTTTAGGGGTGGTTTGGAACCCTATACAAAGGGCTTTTCCTTTCAAATGACACCTCTTTCTTCTGCGAGGGCATTGCACGAAACCAACCCGCTCCCACGCCCGATCAAGTACCTGTTGCTTTGCTGGTAGGCCCACTTAGGTTAAGGTTGTCCCTCAGTTCTTACCAACCTCCAGTGTGTAATCGACATGTTGCTAGCTTCAATCAACTCGGTGGAATAAAAATCATTGATTCCCTTGTCTATTTCTTATTCATTCATAGCGTTCGGCCGGTGTGTGCTCCTTTCTCAACCCAGAACAACTCTGAACGTTAGGGAAGATAAGGAAAGACCACCTGAGCGAGCCAACCGAAGGGACTTGACTTATTCGAACTGAAGGATAGCGGCTTCAAACTCAGCCTATCACGAGTAGCCTCGCTGCTTGATCGGCGGGGAGGAGCATCTCAAAGTATGGGGCAAAGGATCAAGCGCTTTGACTTTGTCTCCCGGGATCCACCACAGTTTTGGTTTGAGAGTCGTGTGACGGGTGACTATCCAGCACGGTTCGGAGAGCACTTTGAGTCTGCGTTGGTGAATAGAAGCCCCCCCTATCAAGAAAGAAGTGGCTCTTCCCACGGCGGAGTCGCCATTGACTCTATTTATTATTATGGTAAATCACTGTATCAAGATGTCAATCTGAGATCTTATTTGGGTTCGATACGTCCACCTACGAGAATGACCTTTGGCTTTCGTCTTGGTAGGTGTATTATTTTACATTTTCCCAAAATCACATTCATTCATTTCTTTCTTCCCCGTCGACCACGAGGACTGAAACGACGCGCAATATCCAAACCCAGAAAGGATCAGGGCCGGTGGTGGGCATTTGGGAAAGTCGGGCCAATTGGGTGTCTTCATTCAAGTGACGATACAGAAGAAGAACGAAACAAAGTGAGAGGCCGAGAGGCAGAGAAAAGAGTGGTGTCGATGATCAGGCTTGACGACCGGAAAAAGCAAAACAAAATTAGGATTTGGCCGAAAAAGAAGCAAGACTATGGATACCATGACCGATCACCATCGAGAAAGAAGAATCTTTCTAAATCACTTCGCGTCAGCAGGGCCTTCAAGCATCCGAAATATGCCGGAGTTGTAAATGACATAACGTTCCTGATCGAAAATGACGACTCCTTCAGAAAAACTCAGTTATTCAAGTTCTTTTTCCCAAATCAGTCCCGCTCCGACCGCCCGACGAGTCATCTACTTAAAAGAACCCTCCCCGCAGTGCGCCCCTACTTGAATTATTCGGTCATGCAATACTTATTGAATACAAAGAACAAAATGCATTTCGACCTCGTCAGAGTTCTCAATCATTTCGTGGCACCGGGCGTGACTGAACCATCTACGATGGGGGGAGCGAATACATAGGGAAGAAGCTTAGATAAGAGAATACGTTCTCACATGGCTTTTTTTTGTAGAAAGCTCGACCAGCGAGAAAAAGTGTTTGGCCGAACCCAGAAAGAGGTTGACCCACTTCATTCCCCAAGCAAATGATCTTCGTTTCGCGGGAACAACAAAAACAACCATCTCGCTCTTTCCTTTCTTTGGTGCTACCTTTTTCTTTCCAATTCTGTAAATAAAATGTCTTAAAATGTTGTCAAAATTATTTGCTTTCTTCGCTATGATATGAACCAAGAGACATCAATCATACAATATGCTTCAATGAAAATGTGAAGAAAAGGTTGTTAAAATTATCAAAAGATGTTTCAATTCATGCTACATTGAAGAAGAATAAAGTTTGATTGTTGTAAATTTTGGGTGGGTTATAATTTAGAGTAATTTAGAGTTATTGTATTTTAAGACTTTTTATTTAATTTCGGTTACATTTACATAATGGCTAATTATGGCCATAAAGTGTGAATGTTACAACTTTTAGAATGCCTTTAATAGTTTCATTTTGAGGCTATATAAAGCCATGTATGTTGTATTTGTAAGGTAGACTTGGAAAATATAGTAAAAGAAGCATTTGTGCTCTTCTTTCGCCAATGGCTAAGTTTCTTTGCAATTCTATGTAGTTTAGGTTGCATGTAGAATCATTCAAGCTCGATATGATCAATCTTGCTTGTGGAGTGATTCGAATCTCAATCAAGTGTTCTTGCGTTGAGATATTTGATCAACAAGAATCATTCAAGCTAGACATGATCGATCTTGCTTGTGGAGTGATTCGAATCTCAATCAAGTGTTCTTGCCTTGAGATATTCGATCGACAAGGTAATTCGAATCTTATTCAAGGCAAGAACATTGTTTGAGATTCGAATCACTCCACAAGCAAGATCGATCATGTCTAGCTTGAATGATTCTTGTTGATCAAATATCTCAAACACTTGTTTGAGATTCAAATCACTCCACAAGCAAGGTTGATCATGTCGAGCTTGAATGATTCTACATGCAACCTAAACTACATAGAATTGCAAAAAAAGTTAGTCATTGGCTAAAGAAAAGCACAAATGCTTCTTTTAATATATTTTCCAAGTCTGCCTTATAAATACAACATACATGGCTTTATATAGCCTCAAAATGAAACTATTAAAGGCATTCCAAAAGTTGTAACATTCATACTTAATGACCATAATTAGCCATTATGTAAATGTAACCTAAAGTAAATAAAATGTCTTAAAATACAATAACTCTAAATTACTCTAAATTGTAACCCACCTAAAATTTATAACCATCAAACTTCATTCCTCTTCAATGTGACATGAATTGCAACCTCTTTTGATAATTTTGACAACATTTTCTTCACATCTTCATTGAAGTATATTGTATGAATGATGTCTCTTGGTTCATATCATATTCGATCAACAAGGTAATCCGAATCTTACTCCCCTTGTAGTGATTTCCACATATTAGACTACGACCAAAGTAGTGGCTACTTCAACCAAAAAAAGGGCGACCCCTTTCTTTTCAAACCGAAATAAGTACCTCACCTCACTTAACGAAGAAGTAGTTGGAGCTGGGCGGAGAACTATGAGAGTTTGCTTTTCTTTCATTTTCTAACTAAGACCGGTCCCTTATTTGTTTTGTTGCTGGTCTTCGAACTAGTCATTAATGGTCGGCTTCATTGGTATCTTTTCGGTATGCGTTCCGAACACTTTCATTTTTAGCGTCTCATCTTCTGACGAGAAGCAAAACTCGAACATCTCGAGCGGATGGTCCAACTAAATAACTTTTTCTTTTTCATTACTTCCATGGTCGTGCCTCGTGGCACGGCAGTACCCGTACTATTGAAATGGTTTGTCAGTAGAGATGTTCCCACAGGTGCCCATTCTTCCAATGGTACTATAATTCCTATTCCTTTCTCTTTATTCCCTCTTTTGGTCTATCTACATTCCAGGAAATTCATACGCTCTCTGGACGGAGCAAAAAGTGGAGTCTTGGTCAGAGCAAGCCACCCTATTCTATTACCAGACATAATTGGGAGAAGCTCATCCGAAACTCGAGCTAGAAACGCCCCATTTCGTTTTGTTCCCCTTCTTCATTTCCTTCTTCTTTCATCCAGGGGAGACTTCTCATATTTTTCATCTTTCTGCGGTGTGCTCTGTTTACTATTCTTTCGTACTCTCTTCTCTTTTCCTCGCCATAGTTCAGCGAAGCATGAGCGAGCACGGAGAAGTAAAGGCCAAACACTCAGGCCTAACGAGAATGAGTAAGGATGCAATGAGAAGATGAGGTGCTCCGGGCACCCCCATTTAGAAAGAAGGTTCGAAGGTTTTGGGCCTGTAGCTTTCGTCCGTCCTTCGTCGGGTGGTACTTGTGTGTGGGGTGTGCTACCAGAAATCGGGCTTGAAGCTCTCGCCTTACCAACGAGCCGGCAGCTGATGGCTGTTGGTCACGACTGCTACCAAAAAGCTCCAATGAAGATGAATATTTCACATGGAGGAGTGTGCGTCTTTATCTTGGGTGTTCTTCTGTCGTGCGACCTGTGGCCCACGCCTCCTATTTGTTCAGGGTGGGCGGCGTGAACTCTGATTCGATTCGGGTATTCAATCCTGCCACTGAGATGCTCAGTTGACTCCTTAACCTTGATAGGAAGATGGCTTATTGATAAGATAAGGAATCACTACAAGGGAAGTAAGATTCGAATTACCTTGTCGATCGAATATCTCAAGGCAAGAATATCGTTTGAGATTCGAATCACTCCAGAAGCAAGATCGATCATGTCTAGCTTCAATGATTCTTGTTGATCAAATATCTCAAGACAAGAACACTTGATTGAGATTCGAATCTCTTGACTTTAGCGGTAGCAAAAGAGGTGACAGTGTATATGGGGCTCAAAGGAAGTACACAAGTAATCTCACATTTGAAGCTAAGCCCTTTTGATATGAACCACGACCAAGGAGTTTCCATACCTCAAGGTCCCCTAATTGATTGATGAACTCGGTAAACCAGCGAAAAAGAAATGGAATTAGCTTAGCAGTCGAGTCAATTCAATCCTCTCCTTCACCTTTAAACACTCAGTAAAGCTATTTTCCTCTCGCTTCTTGAGCAAGGTAAAGCTCCTGAGCCTATGTTATTCTTTCACTTGGTTCTAAATGGGTAGGGTGGGTCTTTCTTTGTTTCTTTCAGTCAGGTTTCAGGAAAGATGAATGAGACGGAACAACTATCTTCTTTCACTTGGGTTTCTTGCCTCATCAATTTCTTCTTCTTTTGAGTCAGGTTTCAGTAAGACGGAATTATCCTGAACAGACAGTAAGTCAAGACGAAAGAAGAATGAGAGTGAACTCCGGAACCTGAGCCGATATGACCTGATGTTCTTTTACTTACTCTACTGTAAGAAAGAAGAAAGAATGATCCTTCACCTCCCCTGTCGGTAAAGCTGCTTCGCTCCTGAACCTTAGCAGTAGCTAAAAGAAAATCTTTTGTATCTCCATATAACTGTAAAAGTTCGTCAGAGGTTTTTCCCTAATAGCTACAGCAAAAATCAAATAAATTCTATCTCCATATAACTGTAAAAGTTCATAATCGTTTTTTCACTAATAGCTGGAGCTGAAAGAAAAGATTTTCTATCCCCCGTATTTTTGGGGATAATTTTGGCTATATGTAATTGATCAGTCAAGAGAGAGACCTCACTACTTCACCTTCACCTATCCTTTAGGGTCTCGAATCTCTTCTTGCTTTTCCTATTGATTCTTGAACAGTAACCAAAGCATATGAAATTAATGAGAGTTGACTCTTCTCCCTATTTTGAGGTTCATTGAACTCTTTTAGGAGGTAAATAGGTTCATTTGGTTCATTAGTTAATGACTGGACTCTCCTGTAAAGACTATCGGTGAATGAGAGTTGACTTCGGCCTACACCTATCTATGGATTCTTTCACTTACAACTCCTTTCCCTCGGCTTCGCTCCTCTACCTATCGATTTTGTTGGTTGGTTGCTTCGCTCCTTTCTTTTCCTTCTTGCTTTCACTCAGTAAAGCAGCATTGGACTGATTTCAGTCTTTTAGTCTACAGTCAAGCTGCTAATTCATTTAGTCGACTGTAAACTGCTGAACCTATCGGTTTCACAGCTTCGCTCCTTCACCTTCTTGTCCTTCTTCTTTCACAGTAAACTCATGAACCTCGTCACCATTACATTAATGAGACTGACCTCAATCACTTGAAGAACAGTAACCGAGGTAAAACAGCTAATTCATTTACTCGACGACTGTAAACAAGCAAGGGAAGGGTTGCACTACTGATCTTTCTCCTTATGAATCAAGGAAATACTCAACAAGAAGAAATTCATGAGCCGCTTTGAAAGACTCCACGATGAATTCGACTTCTTTCACTCTTTGAACTCGGGAAACACTATTCTTGATCCTTCCCCTATTCTAACTAATTGAATTGACTCTCTTGTCCTCGCCCGGTTCCTGGTCTGACTGCTTGCTTCGCCCCTGGATTTACCCTACCCTATTTATGAACTGTAAAAGAGCAATCAATACTCCTACACTACAGATGGAAGGAACTCTAGGACTCTCCCTGAACTGTAATCAAAGAGGTAGACTCAAGACTCATTATTCTGAACTCCGTAACCTTATACTCTATTCTCTTTATAGGAGAGTAAACTAACTATCTCCTTTGTTTGGGGACTGATTTGACTCCTTTTCCTCTTGTTTTCAAGAGCTATTTTCCTCTCCAGTTTTTGTTCCGGTTCAGGTTCTGGTTGAACTATCTCTTTTCTTTCTTCGTGCTTATTTCAGGAAGCACTTCGACCACTGCTGGTTGTATATGGACTGATTTCACTCTTTGACTTCCTCTCTTGTGATGATTTACCGACGAAAAGAGGTCAAGCCGATAGGACCTACTCGAACAATCGCCCTAGCCCTACTTGATCAAGCTGATTAGCAAGTGGACCAACTCGTTGACGTTCATTTGATTGACTGTGAATCTCAGACTGTTCCCCTTCCCCTTTATCTTCTTTAGTCAATTCTAATTGTTCACTCTTAGTTGACCGTTTCGTTGGGGCTGTAACTCAAAGAGGAAGCCCTGCGCTCCCTCTCCCTTTGGTCGAGCTGTTTCACTCCTCTCCCTTTGGTCGAGCTGTTTCACTCCTCTCCCTTTGGTCGAGCTGTTTCACTCCTCTCCCTCCAGTGTATAATTTCTGGATCTACGAAATGAGTGAAAAAGGGGTTCTTTCCCGAGATGAGTTCTTGCCATTTCATTTTGACAAAAGAAAGGAACAAACTTTAAAGGAAATGTATATTGATAGGTTCAATCGAGTCCCGTTTCTATTCCTCTTTCGTTGGTTGTTGGTCTTGCTGGCTGTGTTGCCTGGTCGGTTTAGGGTGCTCTGGCTAATATGACTATCTTGCTTCTTCCTCTTACGGGTCATCATACCAATTAGTAAAGGTGGAGGGGGACATATGAGTACGCGAAGGGCAGAGAGTTTAGACGTAGACGAATCCAAGCCACCGAGGTTACAAAAGGTAGGAACGAATTGGATAAATAGTTGAGGGTGACTTTTCTAGTTATTCCCGCTCCAGTGTTGGTTGCTTTGATAAGATAAGGAATCAATACAAGGGGAATAAGATTCAGATTACCTTGTTGATCGAATATCTCAAGCAAAGAACACTTTGTTTGAGATTCGAATCACTCCAGAAGCAAGATCGATCATGTCTAGCTTCAATGATTCTTGTTGATCAAATATCTCAAGACAAGAACACTTGATTGAGATTCGAATCACTCCACAAGCAAGATTGATCATGTCGAGCTTGAATGATTCTACATGCAACCTAAACTACATAGAGTTGCAAAGAAACTTAGCCATTGGCTAAAGAAAAGCACAAATGCTTCTTTTGATATATCTTTTAAGTCTTATTACAAATACAACATAGATGGCTTTATATAGCCTCAAAATGAAACTATTAAAGGCATTCCAAAAGTTGTAACATTCACACTTTATGGCCATAATTAGCCATTATGTAAATGTAACCGAAATTAAATAAAAAGTCTTAAAACACAATAACTCTAAATTATAACCCACCCAAAATTTACAACAATCAAACTTTATTCTTCTTCAATGTAGCATGAATTGAAACATCTTTTGATTATTTTGATAACCTTTTCTCCACATCTTCATTGAAGCATATTGTATGATTGATGTCTCTTGGTTCATATCACCTTGTTACACAACAAAGAGAAGGGACAGATTTCGAGCGAGCGGGTTGCTTCTCCGGAGAAAGATGCGCTGGTTAGGCAGACCAAAAGACGTAAAGAACGCGGAGCGTGAAGTGCAATTAGATCCATAAGATGCGCTGGTTAGGCAGACCAAAAGACGTAAAGAACGCGGAGCGTGAAGTGCAATTAGATCCATTTTGAGGACGAGTTGAAGAGACCAAAAGACGTAAAGAACGCGGAGCGTGAAGTGCAATTAGATCCATTTTGAGGACGAGTTGAAGACAGAATGGAGGGTTACGGTTGTGGTCCGACATGTTGATGAGCCTGAAGCAAACAGGCTACAACCTACGCCAAAATGGCCAAGACTGAGGGGAGGGGCAGAATAGGCAGCCAGCCTGCTAGATTGAAAGTACTTAGCCAGGGGGAGTCGAGACCAGGCAAAGAACGAAAAGGCAAGGGCCTAAAGTCTCGAAAAGGCAAGGAATCCAAGAAGAAAAAAAGCCCTGAGGCCAAGAAAAGCGAGCTCAAGATCAGGAGCCAAAGAAGCGGACCGAGAAGAAAGAGGGAAGGTTGAATCTGCTCCAAGCCAAGAGTTCCTTAAATTGGATTAATCTCGTCCAACTGGAAATGATAACAGAATCCATAGGTCATTAGAAGGAGTTACAATAAGCGGATAAATAGAGTATACCACCTTACTCCTCTACGAGGGAGAAAGCAAATTGAGGAACCCGCGGAGAAAAACTCAATCAAATTCATTGTTAGCCAAGGCGTGGTAAAGACAAGATAGACTTTGATCAGACATGCTTGGAATCAGTTTCGATCTGGGTAAAGTCAAGTGAGATTACCTCAATCATTCCCTTCTGTAGGTCTCTTTGCTATTGAACCAGAACCCTTATTACCTGACCGACCAGATTCAACGAGGTAAAAGAAAAAGGGAGAGAAAGACGAAAGATGAAAGAAAAGGTGAGACTGAACAGGCAGGAAGGAAAGAAGAAAAAACCGAAAACCGGAACCTATATGACCTGACCGGAATACGATACTCCCTTCCCCTATTTACCGAGTGTAAAGAAGGAGAGTCAATTCCTTCAATTAAAACCTTATAGCCTATTACCGAGTGAAAGAAGAAATAGGAGAGAGGGAAGAAAAGGTTAATAAAGAAGAATGTTTTACAGTTTGTTTCGTGGAGCGTGAAAGTCGGCGAAGCAAGCAGTGAGTGAGAACGAGTTGTAGAGGTTCAGGATAATTAATCTAACCGTGAGTATTGATCTTTTTCTTTTACCTTGTTCAATCAGGTTCATGAGCTCAGAGGGAAAGAAAGGGGC